ATATCATATAACGGAAATTATATATATAATTTATAATAATTTATATATATATGTATATATAACGGAAACTATAGGAATGTTTATAGCATTATCGCTTTTGTTCAGATGGGATTATGTTTGCAAAAGTTCATTAAGAAGACATCTATATTGAAATAATTTTATAGATAATACGATTATTGAAACTATAAATTAACAACTGTTATTCAGAATGGAACTAAAAAAGAAAAGAACAACAATTTTGGATAATACTAATTATCATAAAATTATTATCGTTTGAAATTTTTTTGCTCTTTTATCAACATTTTTATTATTTTTGTTTACAGTCTTGAGCGGTGGTCCCTTAATAGATGATGTATACAAGCTCGAGCAGTACCATTGTCATTGGGGGTGCAGCGATTCCAGAGGTTCGGAACACACTGTCGATGGACAAGCGTTCGCGGGAGAGGTTTGTACAGTTTTAAGTAACAATTATTCAACCAAATAATATGCGATAACAATTCAATAATACATCACCTATAGAAATCAATTCAGTAAATGTCGTTTAAAATTGTTAAAAATTCTATTACATCTGAAATACAGTAAAAATTACTATAGAAACTTGAAAGCAATTGTATAGGAGGAACATTGATAAAATTCGACACGTTTGAATTTTTAAATAAAATTAAAAATTGACAACATGTAACGGTCGCTGGCTAACTGTCCTCATTCTCTTCCTTCCACTAAAGCCTATATACAGGGTGTTCCACAATTACTTTAACAGCCGAAAATGAGGGGTAGCTCAGGTCATTTGAAGTAACTTTTTCCTTTGCGAAAATGCAATCTGCGGCTTTGTTTACGAGTTATTAACGAAAAACACAGACCAATGAGAGGTGACGGCGCGAAGTTCGAGAGCCCGCAGCACGAGGCTTTGACAGATGGTCGGGACGGATTCGAGCCGCGTTCGAAGTATTGAACAAATCACGAAGCGAGAACTTTCCGGATTTTTTTTTACTACGTAACAGTGATATTTTTAAGAAAAACGCTGTTCACCTTTACAGTCGGACACGGAATTATTTAAATAAAATATCATTTACGTAAAATATCATTTACGTAAAATATTATTTACGTACTTCGTTAATCTTCACTGTACACCTTGCTTAAAAATTTCATATGTTACACACGAGGTGTTATGCACACTAGAAAATTAAAACGGCCGTCACGGTTAAATTACTTATTATTTCGGGTCCGAAAAATTAGTAAATATTCTTCAGACGTTCTAAAATAAAGGTGAACAGCGTTTTTCTTAAAAATATTACTGTTACGTAGTAAAAAAAATCCGGAAAGTTCTCGCTTCGTGATTTGTTCAATACTTCGAACGCGGCTCGAGTCCGTCCCGACCATCTGTCACAGCCTCGTGCTGCGGACTCTCTCGCGGACTCTCTCTCTCTCTCTCTCGCACCGTCATCTCTCATTGGCCAGTGTTTTTCGTTAATAACTCGTAAACAAAGCCGCAGATTGCATTTTCGCAAAGGAAAAAGTTACTTCAAATGACCTCAGCTACCCCTCATTTTCGGCTGTTAAAATAATTGTGGAACACCCTGTATACATATAATAATAAAATAAATAATATATAATATAAATATATACAATATAATATATATAGTATATTAGTATATATATACTATATGTTATATATAATGTTTCGATCCCATTGGTTCGCCGTGGAACAATAACGCTTAAGGTCCCGAGCACCGTTTAAATGTGAGGAGCGTGCTCTTAAACGACTTTAAAAGGACGAACGCGGGATAAGCGATTAACCGGGTTCTCTGACATTCGTGGCCGGCTGCGGGTTCGCCGAAGATCGTTAATAATTCACTCTCGCGGAGCATGATTCGCGTCACGATCTACCATAGTCCTCGCGAACTCGCGCTGCCTTCGGCCTTGTCCGAGCGAGCGTTCTTCGTTCTCCGTCGCTTTAGAAGCTGAATCACCTCTACCGGAACGCATCTGTGATTCGTACCGCTTCGGTCGTTTATCTTCCGCTCATAGACGGCACGAATTATACTTCGCAGCAGATTTCAACTTTCCTTTTTGGAGTTGCAACTTTGGAAACAACGTTTCCTGATCGATTCACGCGCGCCGAATACGAATGTATACAATTTGTTTAATTTCCGAGTGTAACTTTCAAGAAAATGAATTTCGAAGCACCGCCAGTTTCCAAAGACGCTTCGTGCTTTAACCAGTTACCTGTTTTTTCGAGTATGTATACTCGTTATGTAAAAGAATTTGCTGTTTAAATTGTAATTTTAGAGAAAACTAAAATATATTCGTAGACTTTAAGATGTTTCGAACATTTCGAGACCGAGACAAAATAAAACGAACAAATAAAAAAATATAAATAATTATTATGAAAAAACTGTATATAGCGTCTAGGTTAAGTATAGTCCTTACGCGACAAGAAGGCACCTATGTCTTTACATTCGCACTCTTACTAATTGCGGCAGTGGGACAGCTTGTAAGAGGAGAATTGTAAACCCAAAGGTGACATCTTGTCGCGTGAGGACTATAGTACACTCGTCATCGTGTACTACCACTTTCCAAAGAGCTCGTAACAGCTAACTGGTTAATAGCGATTGTAATATGATTTTAATTGGAGTAGTAGTACAGTAATTTTTCCCTAATTCGCGCTCAAATTGCGCACAAAAATGGGCATTCGAGCCTCGCGCCTCGTTTTTATAGTTGTTGACAATCGGTAACTATAAAAACGTGCCGAAAGGCTCGAATAATCGTATCTCCCCTTTCCGAATTGTCCATTTTTGTGCGCAATCTCAGCGCGAATTAGGGAGGAATTATTATATTAATATTTTGTGAACTGTCTTGTACAAAAAGCGATGTAGTTTATATACACTATTTCGCGGTTATCTTTTACTTTACTTCACAAATCAAACATCTAGGAATTAATCTGACGACTTCGCGAATTCGAGCGAATTTTCGACACATGGTTCGCGTAGTTCGATGACGGAAAATAATAGAAAGATACAATTCCCGAACACGTTGACATTGGCACGTTGACGTTGGCTCGTGTTACATCGTCTCAGCGTTGAGTACCACTGTCAACGTCATGCATCTTGCAAAATTAGTTCGTTCGTATTTCAAAAATGAAACGTAGTTTCTAACTTAGCACGAAGTAATTTTTGACCGATTTTCTCTCGAGATAATTCACGAATTCTATGTGTAAAGTAATTTGATCATTTCCTCGGTGTTTAGTTTCAAAAAAGAAAAGAAAAAAAGAAAAAGGAAAATAGAACGATATCCGAAAGACTTGTTATTTGTACGAAGAATGCGGAGGACGCAGAAGTAAAGAGAACAAACAATAACAAGAAACAAGGAGTGACTGTATGCGAAACTATTCAGAAGGCAAAACATTAGGCAAACGGAGGGAAGCAATTATGATAATTGGCGTTCCTATTGAGGTGTACACATGCATGGAAATTGTAATTGAATTATGTAACAATACGCTTAGGCATTCTCACCGTTTTCAAACAAGGCTGGCCAGTTCGAGAATTCTTGACGAACGTTCGCTTCAGAAACACTTCTAAGACCATTCTGAGATATGGAAATTAGTCAACTAAAGTTTTCCTTCTGCCCAACCGGCCATAAAAATATAGAAATGCTAAAAGTCACGGCAAGAGAAACGGTTTATTACCTCCGCACTTGTCCGAGAAGCGAGATATTTACATAAACCTGTGCTGCAGATTTTCTTCCATTAAACTTTTCTTCCATTAAGAACGCCAGATTTCGATTATTTGGAATTAGTTTCCTTTGGTGTGAGTAAATCAATATCTCAATTAAGCAAAAAGCACCAGGTCTATTCAATTAGATTCTGTTCTTTGAGCCTTGTACCGAATAAACAGTAACCTTGATTACACGGTGGCTGAAATAAGCGGAATTCACTGTGTCGTGAGAAAAGAATTCTTTTGTTGACTTTTAGATAGGGTTCGAAATAAACAGTATAATAAACATAAACCTTCTGTTGTAAACTAAATTCTGCTCGAACTTGTACGTTTCGTTCAATAAAATATTTGTTCCCGTAGAACATTTACGAAACATCTTTGAAACTTTCTGAATAAATGTTCTTGTTAAACAGATATTTTAGAAAATGTTATCTATATATAATCTATATGTTATGTAAATATATTTTTTTTAAAGGCCTCCATAAAATAAATGAACCATTGAATTATTGAACGCTGGATTTATTGAACAATATTATAATTTATCGTTTATTATAATCGAGACTATTATAACCAGAATATTAGAACAGTATTATAACGAGAATAACTATTTAATATCGTCATAATATTATTCGTGAAAGAATACATAGCACTTGGAATAATGTTTCAGAACTTTTTTCATGTGTATTTCAATTTTAAATATCTGTTCCTGTTGTAGAATAACTTTTATTTTTCAATTTCACTAAATCTAGCCAAATAAAAATGTTTATCTCAGCATTTCTCTTATACCCGTTCATATTGGAACTTACAATATGGGAACATTTTTCAAATAGCAACCCAAAATAGCCAAACTATTCCGAACCCCGAACATTCAGGGAAATCGGAATACCGAAACAACGAACTAAACGTGTTCTTGCTATCGATTAAATATAAATAGATCGTCGATCTTTCAGCAAAATCTCATTCTCGTACGTCGTTCTCCAAAAACTGGAAAAGTTTGAAAGATGATAATCTTGACCTTGGCAATTTCTACGTTCTCTTACATTTCAAAAATCTGCAGATGCTATGTGAACGCATAAGTATCTGCACTCTAACTACAAGAAGCATATTCAAATCGAGATTTCGCAACAAAATCTGCCAACTTTTCGGTTCTTCGATTTTCGAAGGAAATCGCGACGTAGAAAGAAGTCACTCGGCGTTGCTGCTTCCACGTTTTCTTCTCTTCAACCGATTATAAATATGGACGAAACGATACATGGAATAATTGCGTTGGAATCCGTCGACTGTCCACAGTTCACATACAATTTCCACGCACGTTTATCTCTCGCTGCTCGCTGCGCTTGGAATGCACTCCGAATTCGTGCATAAATCAGAGAAAACTTGAGAAAACTCTTTCGCGTCGCGTGATGAACATACCTTTTCGAAGCGACTGCTCAAGTAATACTCGTGGCTCAAGTACGGTAAACACATTGTAATATCCTACATTAACGTTAGCCGACTACCATTAGAAGATATGATGAACGGTACCTTCAGAACTGCTTCAACTTGCTCAATTACTATCACGTTTCGAATGTAGTTAGACGACCATAGAGTGCCACGTTAACGCGTTCGCTACCAGCCACCGTTGTTTAAGTTACGTTAATCGAATTTATGACTTTTCTCGGATAGCATCATTTTACATCGAACAAATCATAAATTATAAAAAGATAACCGCGGAGACTGTTAACGGGACGAAGCTTGGCAACGAATGTAGTTACGCGATCTTCCTACTTCTTCTAATTAGTAATGATAAACTCTATTATTAATAATATATATATATATATATGTGTGTGTGTGTGTGTGTGTGTGTGTGTATATATTATTTCTATTATTATATTATGATACCTAAGATTAAGAGGAATCTAATAACCTATAATAACATGACCTTCATGTGATCTTTATTGCTCCGTGACTTTCACAATTTAGTATCACCAACACGTTTATTGATACCAAATGCCAGCATGTTTATGTTATGTTCCTTTCGGTAGACGTCACGCTTTTTGGTATAACGTTTTGGTATGGAGTATGGAGCTCTGTCAAAGTTTTCATAATCGAATTAATAAATGTCTTGAAGTCAATGGAAATAATTTTGAACATTTATTACAATAAATTTTTCATTCTTGATTTCCCTGTTGTAGTTATTTCATTATGCGTTTCTTTAATTTTCGTACCCAAGGTCACATGAAGGTCATGGTATTATAGGTTATTAGATTCGTCTTGATCTTAGCTATCATGATATAATGATAGAAATATGTAATCCTATTTGAAAAAACATCGACGACCTTGAAATCTCAAAAAATATGACCTTCGCAAAAAAAATGATTTCCACCACAACATGCGTCCTTTCGAACCAAACAATTTGTTCCTCAAGCATTTCCGCGTATCATTAACGATAATGGAAATATCGCTTTGTAACAAAGTTAATGAGACACCCTGTATATACAGGGTGTACTTATATATAGAGAGAGAGGGAGAGAGAGAAAGAGAGAGAGAATGTGCAAAATGTAATCTTCCGTTTTGTTTACGAGTTATTAACGAAGAACCGTGACCAATGAGAGGCGAGATCAGCTGGCGCGAGGCGGCCGAGCCAGTCAACGGAACTGGGCGTCGTCCACTCGTTGGCTTGGCCGCCTTGCGCCAGCCGTGCTGATCTCTCATTGGTCAACCTTTTTCATTAATAACTCGTAAACAAAGCCGCGGATTGCATTTCCGCTAAGGAAAAAATTACTTCAGATGACCTGAGGAATCACATAATTCGATCGTAAGATCGAATTTATTTAACATTAAAGAGCATTATATTCTTGACAAGGATATATTGGTAACAAAGACAATGTGTACGATAGTATTTAGCAGTGTTGTAAAAGAGAATAATTAACATCCATTATACTTCCGTCTACAAAATGTGAAACAAAGGCGTATTTGTTAATTCCCGTTACGTAGCTGTTTGTTTTATATTACACAAATGTCGAAACTCTATCAATTACTAATAATACATCTCGTACGACCATCAAATAATTTAATTTGCAAACTTTTACTATACTGTAAGTCTCTAACCTGTCCGATGCCAATTTATTCGCGAGAAAACAGTGGATTCAATGAAAGAGAAACTTGGAACAATGAAAGTGGGACAATGAAAGAGAAAATTTTAAGTCAAAAGGTTCCATATGATATGAAGCAACGTTTGTCAGCGATTAAGCACGAGAACTATCGACTCCTTACAATTCATTAAAAAACACAGTCAGAATTATGCTGGTAGAATAACTTAAGAGAACTTCATACTTCAACACGCGCCACGGTTGCTGTGCAAACACGATAAGCATATTAAAAGACATTTTTTAACTAAAAACATTTTGTTATTCAGATTTCATTTAGAGGGTAAGGATTGTGTATGGATAACGTTGGATACATTTCGTCCAAGAATAATTTTGTCCGCTGGTGTACGTTTCACGCGAGCTTGTCGCGCTTTCAGCGCGGTCGATCGTCGCGCGTCGTCGGTTTATTTAGTTTGTTTTACCTGTGACGCTCGCTAATCGCGAGTGTAGCTTGCGAAACATCTCTCACGCGGGACTGTTTGAGCAACCTGTTAGACGACCGACTTCGCTATCCGTAGAACAATAAGCTTTCTTTTCGATCGCATCACGCCTTCGATGAATAGATCGCTGCAATGTAGTTACCAATCATCAGCGTTCATTACGTTTGTTACCAACGGCTATTGTCTTGTCTGATGCAAGAGAGGAGGTTTGAGAGGAGTGACAAAGTATTAAAGAGAAATACCGATGAGATTTCTTAATGTTAGCGTTGAGTATTATCTCTATTACAGCAGAGACTTTTTAGTAGAGGAAAAGGTTACGATAAATATGTATGTATTGTAAATACAGTGAATTCTCTCCAATTGTCCCTCAGCTTGGAAACCGAAATGGACAATTTTGGAAGAGGATTATTCGTGCCTCGCGGCTCGTTTTTATAATTACCGATTGTCAATAATTATAAAAACGTGACGCAAGGCACGTATAATCGTATCTCCTCTTCCCAAATTGTCCATTTTTGTGCGCAATCTAAGCGCGAATTAGGGAGTAATTACTGCACTCATTTTTTTCATCATGCTGCCATAACCAGAATCAAAGGAAAATTTATTTCAAATACTAAAAAGCTCATTCAGCGTGCTGGTAATTATGGGAGTGGCGTAGGTTATGTATTCTTTGTTTCGAGATATTTGAAGTTTTGCATGAATATGTACAGAAAAATATTGCGTAATGTAAATGCGTTCTTTGATTGTAAAGTTTGGACAGATTCTCCGTCAACATTATCCTTTGTGGTCTTTCTGATGATCTTCTCGACAAAACATCTTCTCGATCATCAATAGTTTCAATAATCCGTAATCAAATCAAAATTGCGATCACGAGTTTTAGGATATTGTTAAAATAAACTAGAAGTTTATTTAACAATTTAACCGACCCTATCTGACGGTTAAATTTTCTATGATTCTCGCAAATTAAAATCGCATTTTTGTAATTTAGATGCATTCGCAAATAAAGATGAGGCATCATTAATATTTGTTAACGTATTTTAATAAAACCTGGAAATGTCGTAATTTATAAAACCACAAAATAGTGGAAAAATTACAAGAATTGAAAAGCACTGTCGCATTGTTGTCATCGTATTGAAATGATTAAGAAAACCAATTTCTGTTCGAAATTCGCCTGCTGCGTAGATCAATTTTAATTTGCATACAAATTCGCAGTTTACCTATGACTCATAAGTGTGTACGAACCTGTGGTGTAGTAATTATTTATTAATCTAAACAATGAAAGGAAATATTTTCCTGATCAACGGTGGAAATTGCTTAAGCGAGTAAACATTATTCATCTTATACAACTGTATTCTATAGATCTGAAAACTCGAGTATAATGATCGATGACGCGATAATTTCCATGAAAATGGTAATCCAATTATAAAACATCTTTTCTCGTATTCTATGTTGCAGTTGCATCTAGTGCATTGGAACACCAGCAAGTACAACACGTTCGCCAAAGCAGCGAAAGCGCCAGATGGCCTCGCGGTTCTGGGCGTCTTTCTGAAGGTCAGTAATCATTCCATTACCTGCTGCCGTTTCCTGGATCACAGATTTTTTTCTCCCGGTTCGCCTAGTTCGGTTTCAATGGCACGTTAGTCACGCGTTTTTCCACGCTGCTCGAACAGGTCGAATTTCAAGCGGCAGATTGCTCGCCGCCGCATTATCTTTCCATCGATAACCATCTTTCCAGAGAGACTCGGAAAGCGAATTACATCGTAAGAGGTAGTTGAATCACTGGCAGCTAATACTTAGAATCAAGCCGTGCTATAATTAACCTATAAGCGCGCCGACGAAGTACTGTTACAGTTAATTGTAACTCGTTGAGATTATTTTCTCGGTTCGCTCTCTGCGTAATATGATTTCAGATTCGAGCATTTCGTTCCGCTCGTGAAATTCAATTCGAAGTTGAACATTAATCTCTGCACTCAATTTTAATCGTTGTATTTTGAATTCAAGATCATTGAATTCGAGATCATAAATAAAGTAAACTCGGCTAGCTCCGTGATGATTTTATATCTTGTTTGCTAAATCACGATAGTGAACTGCTGTGAGACTAAGTAATGGATGTAATAATGTCAGGTCAGACAAATTAATCACATAAATGACGGACATAGAAAAGTAAAAAAAGAGAAATATTGCATAAGAAAGGACACAGTTGCATTTTTCAAGGGCACTCGGATTACTCCGTGATAGGTCTGCTAAACTGCTTTCTCACTCTTCTAAGTTATTATGCCCGTTTTAATGCTTATGTTTATTTTATTAATCACTCTTAGAACTAATTATACAGCGCTCACGCGTCAAATTGCTCTCAGTTTTTTCACATTTTGGCATCCACTGTGCTACACTCTCTTTATCAACGTCTTCATTGTAACTTTTCTTTTTCTTTAGTTTCCTTAAGCCCTTTTGCTGGGAAACTTGAGCTCACGCTCAGAAAGAAATAAGAATAACCTTCCGTAAGCAAAAATAGCACTGGTATCGTTACAAATGACAATTTAATGCTTACATTCCGATGATCTGTCTGATATGATATTCAAAAATTAGCGAGAGAAATGATGCAAGTAAATGCACCTAGACCACTGCATTTATTCTATTTGATTTATTCAATTTATTTTTATTTATTCAATTCAATTCAAATTTATCCAATAAATTTGTTACTCGGGATAAATATTGCAATAGAAATAGTCGAAAATCCGAGTATATTATTGTTCCTTTGATAAAGTAATATAAAATACCTGGTTTCTAGTGCTCTGTAAATCAAATGTTGAGAGATACCTATAAATTTAAATAAGAGAACATCGAATCGAAATTCGTATTCTGCCATTGAATTTTGAATGGAACGATTCTGCGTTGGATCCGACTTCGAATGCGTCGAATAAACTGAATTCACATTCGACTTAACCCATTGAACTCTGAATTCGAATTGTAGCTTAGACAATGAACTTTGAATTCGATCATCAAACTCTGGCTGCGGCATTGACATTGGCATTATACAAGTGTCTCGCGGTCAATCTATCAAGATTACGAAACAATCAACTTGACCGTTGGCATTGACAGTTTCTCCGCTCGTGACAATAGGTAGGCTTGTGGCGGGCTTCCCGATAGTCTAATTCATTTACATGCTGTTTATGCCCTTTCTACGGGTGCAGCATACCAATGCCCGCATATTTATAGACGCACAAAGCTTTTACATAAGCTGGTGTAAGCTCCGTAAGCAGAATCCGTAACAGTGTGTGACGCCGTTCGCTCGTTCCATCATCGGTTGATAGCATGGTTACATAAGCCCCGCCGAGAACACGAATCATTATCCGAGGTCTTGTAAAGACGAGGTGAAATTCACTGTTGCCGCTTTTGATATCGAGAACGCCGAGGACGAACGGAGGAAATCATGCTCACGCGAGATCGAATCATGCTCTTCCGGTCTCTTCTTGTCGTCGGCCTACGCAGACGCTTCAATGAATTCCCTCTCGCGAGAATCATTTTTGCACGGTATTTGATCTAGAGATTTGATCTAGTGTTTGATCTAGAGAACTGAAAAAAAAAATCGATTTAAGAAATCTTGTTGTGGAATACGTACGATTTTAGCTTTACGAGAGAGTTGAAAGTATGGAAAATACTCTGGAAAATACTGAATAATACCCCAACGTCTTTTCTTTTGTTCGGGTCACTCGTGAAGGGTTATATTTTCTTAACCAATTTATATGTGGCGCCTCTTTTTTAGAACGCCACCTATGTGTCGCGAGAATCAAGCGACGACGAGTATACTCGTCGAACACAGAGTAAGCGTCGCTGTTAAAATGTTAAAACATTGGATCAAAAAGACGGTTTTATTTTATTACTAATATTTACTTATTCACTTACACTGTCCGACACGATTTTTGAGTTCCTATAGCCACTATGAAATTCTTGTAGAGCTTCACTCCTGTCTCTTATACACATCTACTCAAAATGTACATCGTTCTGACACTTCTATCGGGCCGTTTCTTCTTCAGAAATGTCTACAGAATCCGATCCTGGGTAGAGTTTTCGTGCCGAACAAAAACTTTTCGTAAAAATACAAAAATATTACGGAGAAACTGCGCACGTAGACACTTTTTTAAACTTTGACATCAATTTATTACTATTTAGGACCAAAAACAATTAATAAATTGCATGCCACTATATTCGGGAAACTCTCCTCCTGTCTCTTATACACATCTACTCAAAATGTACATCGTTCTGACACTTCTATCGGGCCGTTTCTTCTTCAGAAATGTCTACAGAATCCGATCCTGGGTAGAGTTTTCGTGCCGAACAAAAACTTTTCGTAAAAATACAAAAATATTACGGAGAAACTGCGCACGTAGACACTTTTTTAAACTTTGACATCAATTTATTACTATTTAGGACCAAAAACAATTAATAAATTGCATGCCACTATATTCGGGAAACTCTCCTCCTGTCTCTTATACACATCTACTCAAAATGTACATCGTTCTGACACTTCTATCGGGCCGTTTCTTCTTCAGAAATGTCTACAGAATCCGATCCTGGGTAGAGTTTTCGTGCCGAACAAAAACTTTTCGTAAAAATACAAAAATATTACGGAGAAACTGCGCACGTAGACACTTTTTTAAACTTTGACATCAATTTATTACTATTTAGGACCAAAAACAATTAATAAATTGCATGCCACTATATTCGGGAAACTCTCCTCCTGTCTCTTATACACATCTACTCAAAATGTACATCGTTCTGACACTTCTATCGGGCCGTTTCTTCTTCAGAAATGTCTACAGAATCCGATCCTGGGTAGAGTTTTCGTGCCGAACAAAAACTTTTCGTAAAAATACAAAAATATTACGGAGAAACTGCGCACGTAGACACTTTTTTAAACTTTGACATCAATTTATTACTATTTAGGACCAAAAACAATTAATAAATTGCATGCCACTATATTCGGGAAACTCTCCTCCTGTCTCTTATACACATCTACTCAAAATGTACATCGTTCTGACACTTCTATCGGGCCGTTTCTTCTTCAGAAATGTCTACAGAATCCGATCCTGGGTAGAGTTTTCGTGCCGAACAAAAACTTTTCGTAAAAATACAAAAATATTACGGAGAAACTGCGCACGTAGACACTTTTTTAAACTTTGACATCAATTTATTACTATTTAGGACCAAAAACAATTAATAAATTGCATGCCACTATATTCGGGAAACTCTCCTCCTGTCTCTTATACACATCTACTCAAAATGTACATCGTTCTGACACTTCTATCGGGCCGTTTCTTCTTCAGAAATGTCTACAGAATCCGATCCTGGGTAGAGTTTTCGTGCCGAACAAAAACTTTTCGTAAAAATACAAAAATATTACGGAGAAACTGCGCACGTAGACACTTTTTTAAACTTTGACATCAATTTATTACTATTTAGGACCAAAAACAATTAATAAATTGCATGCCACTATATTCGGGAAACTCTCCTCCTGTCTCTTATACACATCTACTCAAAATGTACATCGTTCTGACACTTCTATCGGGCCGTTTCTTCTTCAGAAATGTCTACAGAATCCGATCCTGGGTAGAGTTTTCGTGCCGAACAAAAACTTTTCGTAAAAATACAAAAATATTACGGAGAAACTGCGCACGTAGACACTTTTTTAAACTTTGACATCAATTTATTACTATTTAGGACCAAAAACAATTAATAAATTGCATGCCACTATATTCGGGAAACTCTCCTCCTGTCTCTTATACACATCTACTCAAAATGTACATCGTTCTGACACTTCTATCGGGCCGTTTCTTCTTCAGAAATGTCTACAGAATCCGATCCTGGGTAGAGTTTTCGTGCCGAACAAAAACTTTTCGTAAAAATACAAAAATATTACGGAGAAACTGCGCACGTAGACACTTTTTTAAACTTTGACATCAATTTATTACTATTTAGGACCAAAAACAATTAATAAATTGCATGCCACTATATTCGGGAAACTCTCCTCCTGTCTCTTATACACATCTAAACAATTAATAAATTGCATGCCACTATATTCGGGAAACTCTCCTCCTGTCTCTTATACACATCTAAACAATTAATAAATTGCATGCCACTATATTCGGGAAACTCTCCTCCTGTCTCTTATACACATCTACTCAAAATGTACATCGTTCTGACACTTCTATCGGGCCGTTTCTTCTTCAGAAATGTCTACAGAATCCAATCTTAGGTAGAGTTTTCGTGCCGAACAAAAACTTTTCGTAAAAATACAAAAATATTACGGAGAAACTGCGCACGTAGACACTTTTTTAAACTTTGACATCAATTTATTACTATTTAGGACCAAAAACAATTAATAAATTGCATGCCACTATATTCGGGAAACTCTCCTCTATCTTTTAACATCAATTAGAACTTTCTAACGTTTTTACTTTTCATGCAATACCTCATTTTTGTCAAAAATTTTGGATTTTTACAAAAGTTCGTTTATTTAAAAAACTGAGGGTGATGGAGCAATTCGGTTTTCG